ATACGCCTTTTCCAAACCCATAAATGCCACAAGACCTCTTTAGCCTTATCTAAATACTGTTCACTTATATGTTTCACTGTAAACACCTGGTCCACCACACCCTACCTTTTCCTAAAGCCTCCTTGTTCATCTGCTATCCTATTCTCCGTCTTACTTTTAATTCTTTCAATTATAACTCTACCATACACTTTACCAGGTACACTCAACAGACTTTTCCCCTATAATTTTTGCACTCTCTTTTTTTCCCTTTGCCTTTATACAAAGGAACTATGCTGCTCTCTGCCAATCCTAGGTACCTTACCTCTTCCATTCATTTATTAAATAATTGCACCAACCCCTCCAAAACTAATTTCCCCCCCTGCTTTTTAACATTTCTATCTTTATCCCATCAATCCCGGCTGCCTTACCCCCTTTCATTTTACCTACTGCCTCACGAACTTCCCCACACTCACAAACTGGCTCTCCTCCTCTACAAGATGTTATTCCTCCTTGCCCTATACACGAAATCACAGCTTCCCTTTCTTCATCAACATTTAACAATTCCTAAAATATTCCTTCCATCTTCCCCAAAACCTCTAACTCTCCATTTAATAACTCTCTCTCCTATTTTTAACTGACAAATCCATTTGTTCTTAGGCTTTTTTTAAATTGTTAATCTCACTCCAAAACTTTTCTTATTTTCAACAAAATTTGTTGATAACATCTCACCCACTCTCTCATTTGCTCTCTTTTTTTCATTGCTTCACCACTCTCTTAACTTCTCTCTTTTTCTCCATATACTCTTCCCTCTTGCATCACTTCTACTTTGTAAAAACTTTCATATGCTAACTTTTTCTCCCTTACTACTCTCTTTACATCATCATTCCACCAATCGCTCCTCTTCCCCCCTGCACCCACTTTCCTGTAACCACAAACTTCTGCTGAACACTCTAACATTACATTTTTAAACCTACCCCTACCTCTTCGACCCCATTGCCTTATGCTCTCATTAGCCCATCTATCCTCCAATAGCTGTTTATTCTTACCCTACTTGCTCCTCTTTTAGTTTATAAACCTTCACCTCTCTCTTCCCTGATGCTTCTATTCTCCTTGTATCCCATCTACCTTTTACTCTCAGTGTAGCTACAACTAGAAAGTGATCTGATATATCTGTGGCCCCTCTATAAACATGTACATCCTGAAGTCTACTCAACAGTCTTTTATCTACCAATACATAATCCAACAAACTACTGTCATTTCGCCCTACATCATATCGTGTTACTTATTTATCCTCTTTTTCTTAAAATATGTATTACCTATAACTAAACCCTTTCTATACAAAGTTCAATCAAAGGGCTCCCATTTATCATTTACACCTGGCACCCCAAACTTACCTACCACAACCCTCTCTAAAAGTTTCTCCTACTTTAGCATTCAAGTCCCCTACCACAATTACTCTCTCACTTGGTTCAAAGGCTCCTATACATTCACTTAACATCTCCCAAAATCTCTCTCTCTCCTCTGCATTCCTCTCTTCTCCAGGTGCATACACGCTTATTATGACCCACTTCTCGCATCCAACCTTTACTTTAATCCACATAATTCTTGAATTTACACATTCATATTCTCTTTCTCCTTCCATAACTGATCATTTAACATTACTGCTACCCCTTCCTTTGCTCTAACTCTCTCAGATACTCCAGATTTAATCCCATTTATTTCCCCCCACTGAAACTCTCCTACCCCCTTCAGCTTTGTTTCGCTTAGGGCCAGGACATCCAACTTCTTTTCATTCATAACATCAGCAATCATCTGTTTCTTGTCATCCGCACTACATCCACGCACATTTAAGCAACCCAGTTTTATAAAGTTTTTCTTCTTCTCTTTTTTAGTAATTGTATACAGGAGAAGGGGTTACTAGCCCATTGCTCCCGGCATTTTAGTCGCCTCATACGACACGCATGGCTTACGGAGGAAAGATTCTTTTCCACTTCCCCATGGACAATAGAAGAAATAAAAAAGAACAAGAGCTATTTAGAAAAAGGAGAAAAACCTAGATGTATGTATATATATATATGCATGTGCGTGTCTGTGAAGTGTGACCAAAGTGTAAGTAGGAGTAGCAAGATATCCCTGTTATCTTAGCGTGTTTATGAGACAGAAAAAGAAACCAGCAATCCTACCATCATGCAAAACAGTTACAGGTTTTTGTTTCACAGTCATCTGGCAGGACGGTAGTACTTCCCTGGGTGGTTGCTGTCTACCAACCTACTACCTTATGAAAAGATAGAGAATCTTTTCCCGATCATAATGACACCAAAAGTATGAAATTTGATGGAAAACTTACGGAATTATGCCCTTTTGAGCCCTATTTTCGGCCAATTCCAGTGTACTAGTCCACAAAAATCATAACTATTTCGCTAGAACTCCATTTTTTCTATTGAATGAGTACAAGAAACCACCCATTTACCGATTTCAACTATCCAATAAAGTGGTCAGAATTTAGCAATTTTGCCAGTTTCACACGAATTTCAAAAGATGCCAATTTCCAAATAGGGTCCAAAATAAACAAGAAAGACATTACTGGCACTAAAATAACATTTCCTCTGTTCATTAGTCACGTCCCCAGGCCCCTCTTACATTCTTTTGCTTTCCACTTTGAATTTTTATTCTCTCAAAAAATAGAAGATTTTCTGTTATGCAGACTACTATATTAGTGTAGAAATGGTATAAATAATATCAGCGCACTTGTGAAAGAATATTAGACTCACCAGTTGATGTGTATTGGATACATAGCATGAGTTGTTTACTTTTGAACTTAGGCAAAAATCGAAGATTTCTGCTACTTTGAGCTCAATTTCAAGGTACTTTTCATTGTAAAACCAATCAGAATCGTCTCAGGTTTTGTAATATGTCTTCCATTCTATAAAATGAGACCAGGAAAACTAGAATACCATCATAAATACCGTACGAAAATACAGTGCAAAGTCGCTGTTTTAAACCAAAAACGCTCATTTTTTTTTTCTCATTACGCACTGTGCTGCAGGATTTTTTTTATACTGCACACACTGACTACATAGACCCATTCTTTCATATGTAGGCCTACCAGCTTTCTCTCGCTAGATTTGAGGGCGCTAGGATTTAGGTGTACTAGTATGTCAAAAACCCTGGTGCATAAGCCGTACTAGTACATCAGAAACCCTGAAAGGGTTAAAACTGACTTTGCGTTGTATTTTTGTATGGTTTTTATGGTTGTATTCTCGGTTTCTTTGTCTTGTTTGATAGAATGAAATGTGTATTACAGGAATAAAGGTAATTTTGTTTGGTTTCAGGACTGATAGTAACTTGAAATTTAACTCAAAGTAGCAGAAATGTTTGATTTTTGCTGATATTCCCAAGTAATGTCATTCGTCCAGTATGCTCATAACTGGTCAGTCTGATACACGTTCAGGAATATTCTGTCATTTTATACAATTATTACAATAATTCAGTATGCATAACAGTAATTCTTCTGTTTTTTTGTGTGAATACACAAATAAAGAAAAGTGCAATATAGGAGAGGCCTGGGGACATAACTAATGAACAGAGGAAATTTTTTCTATTTTTTAGTGCTAGGAATGTCTACACTGTTCTGGACCCTATTTTTAAGTTAGCAATTTTTTAATTTTGTGTGAAATTTTCCAAATTACCAATTTCTCATTACTTTATTGGGTAGTTAAAATAGGTAAATGGGTGGTTTCTTGTACTCAGTTGATAGAAGGAATACTGGCAAAATACCTGAGTTTGGTTGCTTGAAACAATGGAATTGGCTGAAACTAGGGATTAAAGTGGGCGTAATTGCTAATGCATAAATAATGCTAAGACCACCAACTTTAAGAGAGCATAAATCCGTAAGATTTCCATCAGATTTCGTACTTTCGGTTTCATTACCTTTGGAAAAAGATTATCTCGTTTCATTAGAAAAAAAATAATTTTTGTTTTTAAATTCTTTGACCCTTTGAGCAATTCTCAGATCAGGGGTTCTGGCCCTGAAAGGGTTATTAGGTGTAAAGAAATCATTGGAATGAAATGCTCTGTGCTGCTTGGATGAAGCATCTTTTATATGGGGCCAGGAGTTGACTCGACCCCTGCAACCACAAATAGGCGAGTACAGGCATAAAACCATTTACAAATAAATAACATAACATAAATGGTATGGGTTGACTGGTGAAAGTGAAGATGGCTTGTCAGCTGGTTTCAGACCTCGATTTAGATTACCACTTGTTTTAACATACTGTAATCTCAAGGTAGCATCTTGCCCTTGATGGGCAAGATAGTATCAGATACAGTGGAACCTCAGTTTTTGTCAATAATTCGTTCCAGAAAGTGTGATGAAAACCAAATTTGACGAAAACTGAAGCAATGTTTCTCATAAGAAATAATGTAAATCCAATTAATCCATTCCAGACACCCAAAAGTATTAACAAAAAAAAATACATTTTTTAGAGAATAACTATAGTTTTACATACAGAAAAAAGAGAAATATAAAGGACTAATGAAATGGATAAATGAGCATTTAACATCACTTTTACCTTTATTGAAGACTCAATGGCATATGGAAGATGACGAGGAGGGGAGAGGGAGAAAAGGTTATCTCAACCACCATCACTACCACCCTCTACCACAATCACAACCACCCTCTACCACAATCACAACCACTACCACCCTCTCCCACCATCCGTACCACCCTCCACTGACGAGAAACAGCCAGACTGATTCAGAACGCGTGGGATGCTTTGTATGGGCGCGGGTGGACACCTTTGGTATGGCAGACCATTGTCAATTCGACGAAAACCGAGGTGATGAATGAAAACTGGGACAAAATTTTGACGAAACAAAGTCGTCGAAAACTGAATTCGACAAAAACCATGGCAAACGAAAATCAAGGTTCTACTGTATGCAAGTCAGAAATTAAACTTTAATTGCTTTCATTCTGTGCTTGTGTATGTGCATGTTGTAAATACAGTATTTTTTTTATTTAGGAGTTTGATGACGATCGTGATGCAGATGATGCTGTCTATGAGATGAATGGTAAAGAGCTTCTTGGTGGAAGGTAAGTAAAAGCATTTTTATGTTGATGAAGTTGTATTTGCCCTTAGTATGTACAGTAGTTTTATATAGAGTAATAGATGGTATTTCAAAGGTATATTTTATCCTTGACTCTAGTTTTAAAAATGTAATACGTATATGTATGCATAATTTTTTAAACTAATTTTACAGAGTAACAGTGGAAAAGGCTCGTGCTGCTCCACGAATGCGCTGGCCTCGAGCACCACCCCCAAGAGGATTTCATTCTAGGTAAATATTTTTATTATAAATTGATGGAATATGGATTAAAATTTCCAGATATTGTTTAAGGTCTCAGGGCTGAAAAATTTCATGGTAAGAGGTCTATTATAGAAAGTTTGATATAGTTTACTTTTAACTGTGAATGTTACACTATCATTTAGGGTGCATTGGTGTGTTTTGAAGTGTTGAGTTTCAAGCAAGTGAAGTATACATAGGCAACTGATATCATAGACAGTTGTAATATTAACATTGTTGTACTTCAAGGTGCATCAATGGGTATAAAATAGGCTTTCATTTGTATGCTCAATTTTTTTTTTTATTCTCTCGTGGATTTCTAGGAGGTGCTAAGTACTGTTTCAACATGCCTCTTCCCCAAATAGCTTGAACATAAACCTTTCAAAGAGGGTATTTTGATTCTTTTGATGCTTCACTCCCTTTCCCTTTATCAAATAACCAATGAAAAAGCTATTGTACTCTCCTTCAGGTGAAAACATAACTTCTGAATACTATGCTGTACTTTATAAATTAGACGTGTTGCACTTGTCTCAATTTATCGACTTTTTTTTTTTTTAACCATTTGTCTCTAGTGCTGTACCTACAGCTTAGGGACCCATTTTATACTCTTCACTAAGGGCACTCTACATGAGCACTATTTCATTTCAGTCGTTTTGGCATGGCTGCTCGAACAGATTACCGTCTGACAGTTGAGAATCTCTCGAGCAGAGTCTCTTGGCAGGTAAGAATTATTCTTGATAATTGCTAATTCTTAATGTTGATTGAAATTCATGAAATACAATGCTTAAGCTGTTAATTGTCATAAGTGCTTTTTGTTTTTTATTCAAATGTTTTAATCTTACCCTTTTTTGCATTTTGTTTTCATAGGATTAAGTTGTGATATATCCAAAATGACCTCGTTCCTCGCACTCTGAACACTAACATTTTGATTATTGGTGGTGCGTGAATGAAGTACAGCACTTGTCTATACCAGGATGTACATTAATGATAACTGATAGATCAGCTTATTTGGAGTCTTATCGTTAGTGGGGAGTCCTTGTCCTTTTTTTCTTTTTTCATAATAGATCTAATGTAGTACTTAGCATTATGGGGGTAATCTTAAAAAAAAAAAATAATTTCTATATACAGGTCTTGATAGACTTCTTGAAATAGGTTATACTTTTTTTCTCTCCTCTGTAGTCTTGATAGAAAGCAAGAGAGATACTTTTCAGTGAGTTGAGGTAGCAAGTAATTTTAGGATTATTTAATAGCTAAAAAAAAAAAATCACAGGGTGGCTTGGTCAGTAAAACAAAAGCTGATTAGAATAAAGAAGGGTAAGTATTGGGATGGAAAGAAATAGTTATGATGGCACATTTATTAGGGGGATTAACTGTTTTATTTTGGTTAGGGGGCAAATTTAACAGTATGCCTTGGAAATAGAAACAAGTAAATGGGCTTTCCTGTCTTCATGGTTCTTGAAAGTGTAGCAAGTAGCAGAGTTGCTGTTTCATTGTTAAAACAGACCCTAACATTCTGCCGATGTCTTTTTGAAGACACCGTAAGAGAGGGCAGGAGAAATAGCTTGAGGCATGGGAGAGAAGGGACGCGCAAGGTCGCGCAAGCAAGGACGAAGGAGCGTCGTAATGGGCCGGTCGTTCTGGCGAGACGTGGGGTTTCGTCTTGCGAGGCGAGGGTACCATCTGGACTGGGTCTACCTAGGACCCAGGTGGAGCGTATGGACGAAAGTTGGGAACGAGGACGTGGGACACATTTTCCCTGCAACGTATCGTGGGTGTGAGGACACCTCGTTGGGCTGGAGCGGAGACATCTGCTGCCCAGCCTTCCCTCCCCTCCCTCAGACCACTTGCAGGGTCCGTGCTAGGCGTGTCATGAAGTGGGGCTTCCGTCCCAGGCTTTCGGTCACCTTGTCCTGAGTGGCTGGCCAGGTTAACACGCTGCAGGGGCCCGCTGAGGTCAAGTCTGAAAGGCTCAGTGGGGTCAACACTATTTGGCTTAGAGGTATAGGAGATATATAAAGCCCATATTTATAATTAAGGTACAACATAAATGCCTGATACGCGTATTTCATAGTTTCTTCTTATGCCTTTATTCAATGCATTTCTTCATAATGTTCTGCCAATTTGTCTATTGTCACTAATTCATGTTATAAAGAAATTAACTTAACATAAATTTGTTCTCATTGATGGGCAGAGATAGTAAATCAACAATAATACAGTTTCCCTTTAAGGAGACCTGAGTGTGAAGGTAACCATCTTTTCTTAAGAGTGCATCCAGTGGATGTATTCGTCCTACCATTACCCTTCTAGGCTACCTTGGAGGATATCCATGGTCAGGGAGATGATTTTAGAAGGAACCACTAATGTTTTATGCTTTAATATACCACATGTTATGAACTTTTGAAGTGTAATTCTTTGCATTTTTCTGCAGGATCTTAAAGATTTTATGAGGCAAGCTGGCGAGGTCACTTACGCAGATGCTCATAAATACAGAAGAAATGAAGGGTAAGTTATGATTTGTTTTATGTTCAGACACGACTGTTTTGAGATTCTTTATTTTGGGTTTCAGTGTTTATTCCAATTTTCACAGTGGAGTCTTAAAAAAAATTAGTTCAGTTAATAGGCTTTAAGCCTAACAAAACAGTCAACTAGTAGAAATAATGGTTTGAGGGTGGAATGCATGGAATAATCTTGATGGATGGTGATCAGTGTGCTAAGAAAATACTTGCAGTTGGGTGGGTGGGAGTGGAGAGTCAAAATTAACATTTGCATAGGTAACCTTTTATAGTAGTTTATACCCTTCAGTATCATGGCTAGGGGAAGGGTAGGGGTGCCTCTTACCTGGTATGTTCATATATTTTAATTAGGTCTGCTTCAATTATTGGGATAGCCTAAACCATGACCAAGCATTTTTTTTTTTTGTATATAGTTTCGAGATAAATTTTTCTTGGGTGGGGTGGGGGTCTAAAGAATGTAACCCTATTTTTCTGGTGTGTTATTCAGTTCATTGTACATTATTTTTTATTCCATGCTGTTTTCAGGAATATAACTATCATGTTAACTATCAATCAACTATACTCAGTTTCCTCTTATTATAATCCTGATTATGTAGATAGAAGGAAGCAAAAGATATGAGAGTCTGGAATACCTCTCAGTTTATATGTTTTTTATCCTCACATTTTAGCCCTCTTGTTGCAAAGGCTGTGAAATAACTGGGAATTGGCTGGTATGCTGGAAACTTCTTAATTTAGTCACAGTTCTTAATTAGAGCTGTGATTCCTGTTGTAATAAAAAAAATTGTATATAAACCATGTATATTGCAATGGCCCTTCGTACACCAAACAAAGTTATGGCAGTTCCGCAAGATTATCTGTTCAGTTTCTCGTTTAATTACTTTTCACACCATCAGTCTTCGGCTAAATCAAGTGAAGTAAGTGATTAAAGCATGGGAATGAGTACTGTTAATAAAATTATTGATTATTAACTTTCATGTAATGCCTTTTATTTATTTTTCCCTAAATTTATTCCATGCTGAGTAATGGTGTTCTCATTGAAAATATGCTACAATTTTTCAACCGTCTTGTAGCAGAAGTGCTAATTGCATCTTTTTTGACAGACTAATGTAATAAAAAAAAGGGGCATGATACAGTAGGGCTCTGCTTTATGGCGTTTCGTCTTAAGGTGTTCAGCTAATACAGATATTTCAAATTATAACCAATGCTCATTATACGGCACCCCGTCTTTCTAATACAGCGCACCCCACCCTGTTTGTTTACATTCGCCATGAGCACACACCTCTATTATGTCTGGAAACTTGCCAAAATTTCAAGTATTTTAAAGTTATTGCATATTCTATTTTTTTTATTTTTTTTTTCTCTCAACAAGTCGGCCGTCTCCTACCGAGGCAGGGTGACCCAAAAAAGAAAGAAAATCCCCAAAAAGAAAATACTTTCATCATCATTCAACACTTTCATCACACGCACACATTATCACTGCTTTTGCAGAGGTGCTCAGAATACAACAGTTTAGAAGCATATACATATAAAGATACACAACATATCCCTCCAAACTGCCAATATCCCAAACCCCTCCTTTAAAGTGCAGGCATTGTACTTCCCATTTCCAGGACTCAAGTCCGACTATATGAAAATAACCGGTTTCCCTGAATCCCTTCACTAAATATTACCCTGCTCACACTCCAACAGATTGTCAGGTTCCAAGTATCATTCGTCTCCATTCACTCCTATCTAACACGCTCATGCACGCTTGCTGGAAGTCCAAGCCCCTCGCCCACAAAACCTCCTTTACCCCGTCTTTCCAACCCTTTCGAGGACGCCCCCTACCCCTCTTTCCTTCCCCTATAAACTTATATGCTTTCCATGTCATTCTACTTTGATCCATTCTCTCTAAATGACCAAACCACCTCAACAACCCCTCTTCTGCCCTCTGACTAATGCTTTTATTAACTCCACACCTTCTCCTAATTTCCACACTCCGAATTTTCTGCATAATATTTACACCACACATTGCCCTTAGACAGGACATCTCCACTGCCTCCAACCGTCTCCTCGCTGCTGCATTTACCACCCTGAATCCCTTACTAAATATTACCCTGCTCACACTCCAGCAGATCGTCAGGTCCCAAGTACCATTCGTCTCCATTCACTCCTATCTAACATGCTCACGCACGCTTGCTGGAAGTCCAAGCCCCTTGCCCACAAAACCTCCTTTACCCCCTCTCTCCAACCCTTTCGAGGACGACCCCTACCCCGCCTTCCTTCCCCTATAGATTTATATGCTTTCCATGTCATTCTACTTTGATCCATTCTCTCTAAATGACCAAACCACCTCAACCACCCCTCTTCTGCCCTCTGACTAATACTTTTATTAAGTCCACACCTTTTCCTAATTTCCACACTCCGAATTTTCTGCATAATATTTACACCACACACATTGCCCTTAAACAGGACATCTCCACTGCCTCCAACCGTCTCCTCGCTGCTGCATTTACCACCCAAGCTTCACACCCATATAAGAGTGTTGGTACTACTATACTTTCATACATTCCCTTCTTTGCCTCCATAGATAACGTTTTTTGACTCCACATATACCTCAATGCACCACTCGCCTTTTTTCCCTCATCAATTCTATGATTAACCTCATCCTTCATAAATCCATCCGCCAACACGTCAACTTCCAAGTATCTGAAAACATTCACTTCTTCCATACTCCTTCTCCCCAATTTGATACCCAATTTTTCTTTATCTAAATCATTTGACACCCTCATCACCTTACTCTTTTCTATGTTCGCTTTCAACTTTCTACCTTTACACACATTCCCAAACTCATCCACTAACCTTTGCAATTTTTCTTTAGAATCTCCCATAAGCACAATATCATCAGCAAAAAGTAACTTGTGTCAATTCCCATTTTGAATTTGATTCCCCAAAATTTAATCCCACCCCTCTCCCGAACACCCTAGCATTTACTTCCTTTACAACCCCATCTATAAATATATTAAACAACCATGGTGACATTACACATCCCTGTCTAAGACCTACTTTTACCGGGAAGTAGTCTCCCTCTCTTCTACACACCCTAACCTGAGCCTCACTATCCTCATAAAAACTCTTTACAACATTTAATAACTTACCACCTATTCCATATACTTGCAACATCTGGCACATTGCTCCTCTATCCACTCTATCATATGCCTTTTCTAAATCCATAAATGCAATAAAAACTTCCCTACCTTTATCTAAATACTGTTCACATATATGCTTCAATGTAAACACTTGATCTACACATCCCCTACCCACTCTGAAGCCTCCTTGCTCATCAGCAATTACATTCTGCTCTTCTTCACTCCTAAAAGATGGTATACCTCCCTGACCAGTGCATGAAATTACTGCCTCTGTTTCTTCCTTAACATTTAAAAGTTCCTCAAACTATTCTCGCCATCTACCTAATACCTCCATCTCCCCATCTACTAACTCCCCTACTCTGTTTTTAACTGACAAATCCATACTTTCCCTAGGCTTTCTTAACTTGTTTAACTCACTCCAAAATTTTTTCTTATTTTCATTAAAATTTCTTGACAGTACCTCTCCCACTCTATCATCTGCTCTCCTTTTGCACTCTCTCACCACTCTTTACCTTTCTTTTACTCTCCATATACTCTGCTCTTCTTATAACACTTCTGCTTTGTAAAAACCTCTCATAAGCTACCTTTTTCTTTTATCACACCCTTTACTTCATCATTCCACCAATCACTCCTCTTTCCTCCTGCCTCCACCCTCCTATAACCACAAACTTCTGCCCCACATTCTAATACTGCATTTTTAAAACTATTCCAACCCTCTTCAACCCCCCCACTACTCATCTTTGCACTAGCCCACATTTCTGCCAATAGTCGCTTATATCTCGCCCGAACTTCCTCCTCCCTTAGTTTATACACTTTCACCTCCCTCTTGTTGTTGCCACCTTCCTCTTTTCCCATGTACCTCTTACTCTAACTGTAGCTACAACTAAATAATGATCCGATATATCAGTTGCTCCTCTATAAACATGTACATCCTGGAGCCTACCCATCAACCTTTTATCCACCAATACATAATCTAATAAACTACTTTCATTACGTGCTACATCATACCTTGTATATTTATTTATCCTCTTTTTCATAAAATATGTATTGCTTATTACCAAATCTCTTTCTACACATATATGTACTTTGATGATAATACTTGTGTGTACCTGTACCTAAATATACTTAAACACTGTGCTGGCATGCAGGTATACACATTAAAATCACTAAGTATCTCTACTCTTGAAGATACCATATTAATAAAAATAATCTTTTGGACTCAAATGTCGTATATTACGTTAATATTACATTTCCATTAATCCATATCTATTTTTTCAAAATTATATAAGAAACACGTTACATAACACACAAACATGGTAGATACACCCACAGTACAATAAATTTCACATAAATGTGAGATGTGGTAGCCAGACGGAAGGAAAACAGTTTTCTCTGGTCCAGTACCAGAAAAAACCTGCATGAATCTGTGTTTGGCCCAGTCACTTCCCTTAACAGTTTTCGCTTTATTTACGTATTTTTTTTTTTTCAACAAACCGGTCGTATCCCACCAAAGCAGGGTGGCCCAAAAAGAAAAACGAAATTACTAAATTTAAGAAGAAAAACTAAAGTTTTTCTTTTTAAATTTAGTAATTTGTACAGGAGAAGGGGTTACTAGCCCCTTGCTCCCAGCATTTTAGTTGCCTCTTACAACACGTATGGCTTAAGAAGGAAGAATTCTGTTCCACTTCCCCATAGAGATAGGAAATAAACAAGAACTAGAAAGGAAATAGATAGCATCTGAAGGTAGTTGCTAGAAACGATTAAACTCTGTGTACAAGGTATGTCAATTGTAATAATATAGTTCTGGGCTGTATTAAATATCATATTCATAGCTATATTCTCCATGGGGAAGTGAAACAGAATTCTTCCTCCGTAAGCCATGCGTGTCGTAAGGGGCGACTAAAATGCCGGGAGCAAGGGGCTAGTAACCCCTTCTGTATAAATTACTAAATTTAAAAAGAAAAACTTTAGTTTTTCTTTTTGGGCCACCCTGGCTTGGTGGGATATGGCCGGTGTGTTGAAAGAACATAGCTATGTAGGTAGGTGTAGCTATGTAGCCAGGTGGACTACATAGCTACATCTACCAGCTACCTACACCTGACATCGTAACAAATAAATACTACTCTCATCCTACATTAAGACTACTGTACACATATATTAAAGTAAATATTGAGTGTACTCTGTGCATTTTATCTCTCTGGGCTGCTTTAAATATCGTAATATTAAGTTTGGGATGGGGAGCCAGGACTACTTGCACCTGACTTCCTACAAATAAGTAGTACTCGTGTCTCTCCGTACATTAAGATTACAAATATTTTAAGGTGAGTAATGAATGTACTGTGTATTGACTTCTTGTTTGTTAATGCTTAGTTCTACTGTTAGCGTAATATGTTAGTGAAAATTTGTCTGGCATTTGTATGCATTTGTAACTGGAAAAAATGGCATTCTGCTTTCCGGCGATGTTCGCTTTCCGGTGGTAGCCTGGAACCTAACCTGCCGTATAAATGGGGCCCTACTGTACTTTCAAGTTTAGCAACATCTATGCAGAATTGAGTGACAGCCTTATCAACCTGTAAACTGGTCATTAATTACTGTTAGCAATTCAATCACATTCCCCCATCACTGACCATGTTAATACATGTTGATAAGCTTATATATACTGAATTTATTAAACAAATGTGTGTACATAGTCATTCATGCCATTTGACTTTGGGAAAGGGTCAGTAGTATGCTGGCATTCACCACACACACTGACATTCCCATGGTCAAATCTCTCCCCCTTTCCTGATCATAATAAAAGTTAGTATTAACCTGATTAGGGCAATTTTTGAAAGTGCTAAATACAAAATGGGCCCAAATTTAAAAAAAAAAGATTATGCAGATATAATTTGGGTTGTTCGTAGATTTCGAATTTGTAGGACCCCTAAGAATATACCTCGTCCTCAGATTTGGGGGTTTGAGTACTGTATACTGTATAAAATTTTTTTTTATGGTGGATAATGTGGTAATACAGTACAAGTACAGTACCATCCGACTTACAGCTTAGCTTGGTTCCGACCAACTGGTCGTAAGTCAAAATGGACGCAAGTCGAACCTTAAGAAATTGCTGACATGCTGGGTAGGGCATAATGTCAAATCTTTGCTATGAAAAAGCACTTACATAGTACGTATTGCATGTTATTTTTTTACCAGTTGTTGTGATTTATTTTTATTTTTGCTGCCAGATGTATGATTGTAGGTACAAGTGGTCGTATGTCGAGCAGGTCACAAGTCAGATGGTACTGGTACTAGATTAGGCTGTACAGATTATTAGGTAAATGTGTAAATGTACATGTACTGGAGTCATGATGATTCCAAATTATAGGATAAATGGATAATTGCACATACCCCATAATCACTGATGAAGCTGGAAGAATTGATTAGCAGAAACTTTATTCATAAATCTAAATAAAATGTACTGTACATGATTGTAAGAATGTTTATATTATGAACATTTCACCTGGCTACTGCAGTTAATGAAGGGAAAATATATTTATGTAATATACAGTGTATTATTAATATTTCAGTATAACATGTAAATATTTTCTTCTAGTGTGGTAGAATTTGCTACTTATGCAGACATGAAGAATGCTATGCACAGATTAGATGGTAAGGAATTACACGGAAGACGTATACGGCTTGTTGACGAATCCAAGTCCCGAAGTTCTAGAAGATCTCGCAGGTCGAGGTCAAGGTCATCCTCACGATCAAGATCACGTTCACGCTCACGCTCACGTTCCAGGTTTGTCTTCCTTTTAATAAATTTTAGAATTTTTAGATATTTCAGCAAAATGAATGCTTTATTGAAGTTAAATATATTTTTTGCATAAACAAACTGATGTCTTGTACTTTTTATGTATAATGTTATTGGTTTTCATGTGTTAGGTACATGTTTGTTGATTTTATGTAACTCGTAATGTTCACTTGTATTAATTAGTCATTGTCAGCAGGTCGCGCTCCCGCACACGTTCCCACAGTCGATCCCGTTCAAGGTTTGTAGCCATTTTAATTTCATTGACTTCCAAATTTTTTGTGTACTCTTGTACTGCTAAACTACTTTAGTACTAGACTGTGACTGTACTAGACTGCTTTATTGCTACTTTACTATTAATACTATACAGTGGACCTTCAGTTTTTGTGTATAATCCATTCCAGAGCCATCAGCCAAAACTGAAATCGGCCAAAACCGAAAGTATTTTCCCCATAAGAAATAATGTAAATGGAATTAATCCGTTCCAGACACCCTGAAGTATCAAAAAAAAATTTTTTTTTTTTACCTTAGATAGATTTACATGCACAAAAGAATGACCATTACACATGACACTTAACGTTATTGAAGGCTGTTGTTGATGGAAGACAGGGAGGAGGGGAGAGGGAAGAGAGGTTATTGTTTGGAAAGGGAGTCTCCCTCCATAAGGACTCTAGGTACCAAGTCCTTATCAGGGGTCACTTCCCTAGCTTAAATATAGATTTACATTCAGAAAAGAACGATAAATATAAAGCACTAATAAAATGTATAAATGAACGTTTAACATCACACTTACCTTTATCAAAAAGACTTGTTGGTGTATGGCAGGCCTGGTGGAGGGGAGAAGGAGGCGAGTTTATTGTTGGAGAATGTGACGCTAATATCAACTCTACGGCTTATTTATCTCTCATAATTCAACTAATGTGACATAATAAACAATATTAAAAACATAGAAACATGACTTATACTCTAGAATGAATAAAACAAGTCATTATGTATGTAACAACAGGTGTTCTGTTGGTTGTATAAGGGCCACTGTGAGCATAGGCCGTACATATTGTTGGTCAAGGCTGCAGCTGAGGCAGTGGTGTTTTCTGTAGCCCTATATAACTCCAACAACTTTGGAGTAGTAGAATTGCTGAATCACTGAAGAAGGCACCCTCTACCACCATTACAACCTCCTCCTACTGCCATCACTACCACCCTCTACCACCATCACTACCACCCTCTACCACCATCACTACCACCCTCTACCACCCTCTACCACCATCACTACCACCATCACTACCACCCTCTACCACCATCACTACCACCCTCTACCACCACCACTTTCATATTTTTCTACAAACTTTTTCTTGAATTATATCGTGTTTCTCACATTCTTTACCAAAGGGCTGGCACTAGAAGCTTTCTTTGGGCCCATGGTGGCTTATTTAGCAGTCACACAATAACAAATGGCAAAAACAATGGATTATTATAATTATTATTACAGATTATTATTACTAATAGTAGTACTATTAGTATTACTGCAGTGGACCCTCGAGTTTTGTAAGCCTCGTGCATCGTAAATTTCGCTCTTCGACAACTTTTTTCGTTTAAATATAGCCTCGCGGTTTATAATTTGCCTTACTATCCGTTGGTCGTCCGGAACGCGGCCTCCCAATGTCCGCTCCCACACACCATTCCCAATCAGTGTGGCATTGTTTATTGGCAAGTGACCATCACCCCACGCTTTCATACATTACATTTTGTAATATTCCATTCTTTTTTGTGCTGGCAACTGCTAAATAAGCCACCATGGGCCCAAAGAAAACTTCTAGTGCTAGCCCTTTGGTAAAGAAGGTGAGAAAGACTATAGAATTAAAGAGAAAAGTTTGTAGAAAAATGTGAAAGTGATGATGGTAGAGGGTGGTAGTGATAGTGGTAGGTGATGGTAATAATAGTGGTAGAGGGTGGTAGTGGTTGTGATGATGGTAGAGGGTGGTAGTGGTGGTGATGGTGGTAGAGGGTGGTAGTGATAGTGGTAGTGATGGTGGTAGAGAGTGGTAGTGATGGTGGTAGAGGGTGGTAGTGATGGTGGTAGAGGGTGGTAGTGATGGTGGTAGAGGGTGGTAGTGATGGTGGTAGAGGGTGGTAGTGATGGTGGTAAGGGGTGGTAGTGATGGTGGTAGAGGGTGGTAGTGATGGTGGTAGAGGGTGGTAGTGATGGTGGTAGAGAGTGGTAGTGATGGTGGTAGTGGTGGTGGTGATGGTAGAGGGTGGCAGTGATGGTGGTAGAGGGTAGATTTGCAAGAGCTCTCTGGACAGTTTTATTGTGCGACAGGGATCCAGTGACTTTCAAGCTGGTCCTAGTGCCATTAAAAAACAAGGGAAGTAACCCCAGATAAGGACTTTGTACCTTAAGTCTTTATGGAAGGGGATTCCTCTCCCCTCCTCCTGTCTTCCATACACCAGTAAGTCTTCAATAAAGATAAGTGTGATGTTATTGTTTTATACTTGATGTCTCATTGTTGTCTGTATGAAAATCTATTTTTTTTTTTTTTATTATCACACCGGCCGATTCCCACCAAGGCAGGGTGGCCCGAAAAAGAAAAACTTTCACCATCATTCACTCCATCACTGTCTTGCCAGAAGGGTGCTTTACACTACAGTTTTTAAACTGCAACATTAACACCCCTCCTTCAGAGTGCAGGCACTGTACTTCCCATCTCCAGGACTCAAGTCCGGCCTGCCGGTTTCCCTGAATCCCTTCATAAATGTTACTTTGCTCACACTCCAACAGCACGTCAAGTATTAAAAACCATTTGTCTCCATTCACTCCTATCAAACACGCTCACGCATGCCTGCTGGAAGTCCAAGCCCCTCGCACACAAAACCTCCTTTACCCCCTCCCTCCAACCCTTCCTAGGCCGACCCCTACCCCGCCTTCCTTCCACTACAGACTGATACACTCTTGAAGTCATTCTGTTTCGCTCCATTCTCTCTACATGTCCGAACCACCTCAACAACCCTTCCTCAGCCCTCTGGACAACAGTTTTGGTAATCCCGCACCTCCTCCTAACTTCCAAACTACGAATTCTCTGCATTATATTCACACCACACATTGCCTCAGACATGACATCTCCACTGCCTCCAGCCTTCTCCTCGCTGCAACATTCATCACCCACGCTTCACACCCATATAAGAGCGTTGGTAAAACTATACTCTCATACATTCCCTCTTTGCCTCCAAGGACAAAGTTCTTTGTCTCCACAGACTCCTAAGTGCACCACTCACTCTTTTTCCCTCATCAATTCTATGATTCACCTCATCTTTCATAGACCCATCCGCTGACACGTCCACTCCCAAATATCTGAATACGTTCACCTCCTCCATACTCTCTCCCTCCAATCTGATATTCAATCTTTCATCACCTAATCTTTTTGTTATCCTCATAACCTTACTCTTTCCTGTATTCACCTTTAATTTTCTTCTTTTGCACACCCTACCAAATTCATCCACCAATCTCTGCAACTTCTCTTCAGAATCTCCCAAGAGCACAGTGTCATCAGCAAAGAGCAGCTGTGACAACTCCCACTTTGTGTGTGATTCTTTATCTTTTAACTCCACGCCTCTTGCCAAGACCCTCGCATTTACTTCTCTTACAACCCCATCTATAAATATATTAAACAACCACGGTGACATCACACATCCTTGTCTAAGGCCTACTTTTACTGGGAAAAAATTTCCCTCTTTCCTACATACTCTAACTTGAGCCTCACTATCCTCGTAAAAACTCTTCACTGCTTTCAGTAACCTACCTCCTACACCATACACTTGCAACATCTGCCACATTGCCCCCCTATCCACCCTGTCATACGCCTTTTCCAAATCCATAAATGCCACAAAGACCTCTTTAGCCTTATCTAAATACTGTTCACTTATATGTTTCACTGTAAACACCTGGTCCACACACCCCCTACCTTTCCTAAAGCCTCCTTGTTCATCTGCTATCCTATTCTCCGTCTTACTCTTAATTCTTTCAATTATAACTCTACCATACACTTTACCAGGTACACTCAACAGACTTATCCCCTATAATTTTTGCACTCTCTTTTATCCCCTTTGCCTTTATACAAAGGAACTATGCATGCTCTCTGCCAATCCCTAGGTACCTTACCCTCTTCCATACATTTATTAAATAATTGCACCAACCACTCCAAAACTATATCCCCACCTGCTTTTTAACATTTCTATCTTTATCCCATCAATCCCGGCTGCCTTACCCCCTTTCATTTTACCTACTGCCTCACGAACTTCCCCCACACTCACAACTGGCTCTTCCTCACTCCTACAAGATGTTATTCCTCCTTGCCCTATACACGAAATCACAGCTTCCCTATCTTCATCAACATTTAACAATTCCTCAAAATATTCCTTCCATCTTCCCAATACCTCTAACTCTCCATTTAATAACTCTCCTCTCCTATTTTTAACTGACAAATCCATTTGTTCTCTAGGCTTTCTTAACTTGTTAATCTCACTCCAAAACTTTTTCTTATTTTCACAAAATTTGTTGATAACATCTCACCCACTCTCTCATTTGCTCTCTTTTTACATTGCTTCACCACTCTCTTAACTTCTCTCTTTTTCTCCATATACTCTTCCCTCCTTGCATCACTTCTACTTTGTAAAACTTCTCATATGCTAACTTTTTCTCCCTTACTACTCTCTTTACATCATCATTCCACCAATCGCTCCTCTTCCCTCCTGCACCCACTTTCCTGTAACCACAAACTTCTGCTGAACACTCTAACACTACATTTTAAACCTACCCCATACCTCTTCGACCCCATTGCCTATGCTCTCATTAGCCCATCTATCCTCCAATAGCTGTTTATATCTTACCCTAACTGCCTCCTTTTTTAGTTTATAAACCTTTACCTCTCTCTTCCCTGATGCTTCTATTCTCCTTGTATCCCATCTACCTTTTACTCTCAGTGTAGCTACAACTAGAAAGTGATCTGATATATCTGTGGCCCCTCTATAAACATGTACATCCTGAAGTCTACTCAACAGTCTTTTATCTACCAATACATAATCCAACAAACTACTGTCATTTCGCCCTACATCATATCGTGTATACTTATTTATCCTCTTTTTCTTAAAATATGTATTACCTATAACTAAACCCCTTTCTATACAAAGTTCAATCAAAGGGCTCCCATTATCATTTACACCTGGCACCCCAAACTTACCTACCAC